CCCACTCAGAGTGACCCCAGAGAACAGAACAGAGTATAATTGCCCCAGGGGGTTTCCAAGGCTATAAATCGTTCCAGAAACAGACTGCCACATCTTTCTCCCTCAGAACAGCTGGTGGGTTTAGACCGCCAGTGTTTCCATTAGTAGCCAAGTGCTTTAACCACTGTGCTACTAGGGCTCTTTACAGAAGAAACATTGCATCGCGTATTTAGTGTAAAGTTTCATGATAGGTGTTATCAGTTTATTTGCTGTGAATAGTCATTTCGCATGCTATAAAGCATGACTGTGTTCTTCCAAGTGTATTCATTGTACTTATTGCAAGCTCCGGGCAGGCAGGACCTTGGTTTGGCATCAGAGCCCATAGTGTCCAGTGCGAAACCTGTGCTAAGTGCTCTTATTTTCTGCTGAGGGCAGGACATTGTTATCACTGTTTAGCTTGATGCAACAGGCCCGACCTGCCCTACTAATGTCAGTGTTCACTCGGTAGCGTGTACAATTTCTACTTGCAAGTTCATAGATAAAATTGTGTACCATTGCTTATTCATTTTGGTTGGACGTTAGGGCTTGGGATCACTTGTGGTATGGCTTGCTTGGATACATGATTTGAATTAGCTTTTTAAGAAACTGGTTGAAAGGAGTAAATCCTCTTTACCAGGATTTTCTGAAATTTTGCTGGCCTTACCTGGTTAGGAGACCAGTGGCCCTGGAAAGACCTAAAGAAGTTCCTAGTATGCATGGCAGAGAGGGGACCGGAAGATGAGTAAGATGGGTCAGTTGCCTGAATGGGAGAAAGGGGCGCTCTCATTGACAGGAAGTGGCTGTAAAGACCATTTCCAAAAATGAGAAATGGCAAAGCCTAGAAATGGAAGGGAAATGATAAAGAAGGAGAATTAGAGCTCCAAACATTGGCAATTTAAAAATTGTGCTCCAGCTGGAGGAAAATGGGCTGTGTGTGTATGTGTGTGTGTACAGCAATGGCTATTAAACCTATTGGCCTGCCTATTAGACCCTCAGAGCCATCTGCAGCCCTCACTGCAGAGGGGATCAAATGGCCCCAAGAACATCCTTCTTTGTGAAGTTGAAGCATGTTGAAGGCTTGTGGGCCTGACTCTATAAAGTATTGTGGGCCCTACTTGAAGAGCAGGTAAAGTTCTTCTGTCGTGTAGTTAAATACTTATTGAGCTTGTATTCAACAAATGAGTGTATAAGTGAGGAAATGAATAATGCCATCGTTGTACTCATTTCTTTACCAATTTATTAAGCACGTATTATGTGCTGCTGTTGGGTGCCATGGAGTGGGTTCCCACCCAGAGCCCAACACTGGCTGGTCTGCACAATCTTTCCTGTATTTGAGCCCATAGATAGAAAATACTCACGGTAGTAAGAATATAGTGGTGAACAGTGCAGAAATCATGAAAAAGTAGTGAAAAAGATATTATCCAAATAGCCACATAGATATAGGATTATAAACTGGATTACGTTGTAATGGGAAAAACAACTGCTGTGGTATAACCCTGGGGTGGCAATCAATTGAGATGTGTGATGTGACAGGGACTTAAAGAACTGATGGATGAGTAGGCGTTGCATGTGAGAATTGGCTCGTGTGGGAGGTGGGGTTGAGAGCGTTGCAAATGAGGAAGACAGGATTTGTGAGTTTCTCAGATTGGGGTGGGAGGCTGGGAGTGGGCTGCTGTCCTTAAGATTCTGCAATCTGACTTGTATGTCTGGGCTGCACATGACACAGTGGAGAGGTTGGCAGAGAATGTACCTGTGAGGCAAGTTCCAAAATCCTCAAATTTTATTAGTGCTCATTAAGAAGCAAAAATAGAGATGGATTTGTGGCTTGAGAAAAAAATGGCAGGGGAAGTTAGTGAATTAGGAAGTAAATGGCTCGTCTATATTATTTGGAGGTTGGTGTTGCAGTGTGGAAAGAATGTGGACTTTGGAGTCAGTACTGAGTCCATCTTGGCTCCGTTTCTTAATGGTATGTGATTTTGGGTAAATTGCTACACCTCTCTGTTTCTCCATCTGTGAAATAGAGGTAGTGATGCTGTTATTGTGAACCTGAAATGATACTAAAGCACTTAGCAAGGGGTGAGGCTCATGCCACTACCCCTCTTCCTCTTCCAGGCAGAAGGAGAGCTACGTGCTTGCTTACAAAATGTGAGCTAGTGCACCCTGTGGAAACTGCTACTCCATGCACAAGCCAGCATACCTGTAGATGCCACAGCACTCCATACCATCTGAGGTAGTTAGTTTATTGTGCCAATCTGGCCGATAAACACAGGTGGGGTTAATTGAAGGGCGGAGGGATAAATGGCTCGGTGAGCCTAGCCATTCTATGTCTCGGGTCTCTTGCTTTCTGATGGTCAGACCAGGGTGCAGCTGCATTAGCCAGTTCCCTGCTCTAGCTGGCAAGGCTCACTTCCTGTAAGACATCCCTGAGGAGAAGCCACATGGACCTACCCTGATGCAGCCGTGGGTGCTGGAGCACCCGTGTGGAGACCCCTGCCAGCGCTGCGATGCTTACACGTTCACTGACTCGGCTTTCCTCCTGCATTCGGCATCATTGTGTGTGTTTTGTGAGATGGAGGAGGACTTTGTGGATTGGTGTTGGGCATATGGGCTAATGTTGGACTTGTGGGCTTGGGCAGCACTGGGTTGGGATGTTTTCTTGATGTGCACTTAACCTTTATATAAAACTCTCTCTTAAACATGAGTTTCTGTGGATTTGTTTCTCTAATGTACCCAGACTAACACATCATCTGAGTCAGTGAAGTGATAGGATTGCTTTCTGACCCAGTGATAGTTGGAAAAGCAAATGTTTTTATAGCAAAGGTACATTGACAGAGTTGTAAGAAACTTCTGGAAAACTGGCTTTGCATTTCAACGGCTATGTTCACTTTATCAAAAATCATAGTATAATTAACTGTTCTGTAATCTTTCAGGAGAGCATCATTATTTATTACATAAAATAAAGACTCCCTGAAAATATTAACAAGTGAACTTAAAAACATAAAGTTCCATTTTCTTCACATTCAGTTTTCTAGCTAAATTCACTGCAAGCCAGATGAAACAGGTGGGATAAATTGTCATGTGAGTGTCTGTGACTCGCTCCCTCATTGCTGTGAAATATGGTACACCCCCACCCCCACCCCCATAGCACAAAGATGGGGTCTGGAAACTTCGGTCTTACCACTGGAAGAAGATGAAGTGATTGCTGGCTAGCCAATTAGCCACTTCCCAGGGTGGAAGAGCTGTTTCCACCTGTGTTTGCTCAAGTTTTCATTGGGTGTATTGGGATGCTGATGACATATCTGAGAATTTTGATAATGCTAATGAAGATTTTGGTTTTGTTTTGGAAGAGAGGAAATTATTTTGGAGAAGCATAGTTTGACCTTTGATTTAATTACCAATTTTGTAGAAAAAGGCAATGTTCTCTGGCAAAATGTTTTGACTGTAATGTTGTAATAAGGCATTTAAGGCAAGAGATAATTTAAAAATAAACGAAAGAATGACCCATTGTCTTTGAACACAGTCCAGTTCCTAGCCCCTCTCCAGGGTAGAGAGGAGAGCTGCCCCTAGGGTTTCTGGGATGTAGTCTTCACGGGAGTGGACAGCTCCTTTGTCCCGAGGAACAGCTAACCTGTGGTTAGCGCTCCAATGCTTAACCTGCGGGGCTCCTGAGAGATGCATTTAGGAAATGAAAATGTTTTATGCAGCTATATGCACATTGATATTTTGTTATATTTCTTTTCTGTTTTAGAAAATGCCGTTTGTAATCCATTAAACTAATTTTATAATTTCTTAATGGGTCACAGTTCACAGTTTGAAAAGCATTAGACCAAGTGACTTCAGTAGGAGGGAATTCCTGGTTCCTCCAGATACAGGGTCGGCACAATTCCACCAGTAGTATATCCCGCACCAGTAATGATAGATGATCAATAGATGCCAACCCAGAAAGGTTCTTTGTAGCATTTTTCCCTTCTCTAATCACGATGCCCTGTAGGACCAGGTATTGCTTTTTGTTGTCATGTTTCTCCTGCTTCTTTGATCTGAAACACTTCCTGGCAACACTGAAATTCCCCCCCCCACACACACACCCTTTTTTATTTTTTAATTTAAAGAACATGTTCCTCATTCTGATGTTTCTTCATGGTTGGATTTAGGCCATGCACCTCTGTTGAATACTACATAGGTAATGTAGCTTTCTGAGCTATCACACCTGAGGGCACATTGTGTCCCTTTACTCCTCCCAAGTGATATTAAGAATAGCTAGTCAAGGTGTTGTCTGCTGTACAATTAGTATCTTCCCTTTGTAATGGGTAGAAGGCCATGGGAAGACAGTTTCAAACCATACAAATAGCTTGCCCATTAAATCTCTAAATTTAACGTCCATTGACTGTCCTTTGCTGATCCAGTCTGCCATGAAGCTTGCACAATACTCATTTTCTCCACTCCACATTGACCGGTGAGCACTCAGTATTCTGTCGTAAGCAAGGGTCCTCCCTTCCCCCAATTTATTTTTAATTACTGTTATGAACTTGGCAATTCCACCTCTACCCCATTTCCCTAATGATTTATAATTCATTACTGTGTAAAATAGAGGATTTAACTTTGGGGTCAGTAGATGAATTTAAGTCTTAATGAGCAATTTGAGATTGTCTGTCAACAGTGTTGTTTGGACATATTTCTGAGGAGAGTGTTATAACATTGATTAGACACTAAAAGATTCTTGACCGCCCTGGGGGAAAGGGTTAAACTTCCAGCTTATCTGTACCTTTGTTTGCTTGCCTTTGCTTTCTACCCTTTGCCTGCTTTTAAATTAACTTGAAAACATATTTTGGTTCCCTCTAAAACTTTGCAGGAATATGTAATAAATATTGATATCTTCATTACCACTGTAGCAGCAGTTTATGGTGTATAGAACCAGTCATGTGAAGCAGTGAATTACCATGATTTAATTTGAAATTTTAAAACCGATGTTTTTTACACCGTAGTTTTATTAGCTCTCTGGGAGTGAGCTACATGATGTTGTGCACTGAAAATTACCCCAATGTCCTGGCCTTCTCTTTCCTGGATGAGCTTCAGAAGGAGTTCATTACTACTTATAACGTGATGAAGACAAATACTGCTGTCAGACCATACTGTTTCATTGAATTTGGTAAGGGCCTGATTTTTTTTTCCTTTTTAAGTATCCTATCTCCTTCAGTCATAAGCAGTTTTTCATCTGATACTAGGGAGCAGAGGAGGAAGCTCAGAGAAATTTGGCAAATGATACATGAATTATGGCACCTTGTTACCTGCTAAAGATGCCTATTGGGGAAAACTGTGAATTATGAAAGGAATTATGCTTAGTAGCACAAAGAATTAATCCCAGAGGACAGTTTCTCGGATATTCAGAGTCTTGTGTTAATGTGATTATTTTACATAATCTGCTTAATGTAGAACAGGGGTTGGCAAACATTTTCTGTGAAAAGACAGAATATAAATGAATGAATGTATGTAGTTATATTCCAATAAAACTATTTACCGTTGTAGGCAACAAGCTGGGTTTGGCCTGCGGACAGTAGTTTGCTTGTCCTAATGTAGATGGAGAAAGAAAAGTAAAACCAAGTACAAATAGTAAAAATAAACTTCTACTTGGGAAGTATCTAGGAAATATCTTTCGTTGGTTTTAGTTAATTTTTTAATGGACATTCTAATGGTGTAAGCAATAAATAATATTTATAAAAGCATGCTGCAGAGTGTATGTTCTTCTGTAATTGCAATCTAATAGATTTGATGTATCATGAGATAATCCCTATAAAAATACTGTTTAAAATTAAAGCTGATTTTATTTCTGTAATTCCTTGACGTGAAGTGGTTATAATAAAAATATTCTCACACTCATGTACAGCTAAACTCCTAGTTTATTTACAGTTATAATTTTTAGAATGTCTAGTTGATGCCTTCATTGTATATTAACATTAAACACAAATAGTGGTAGGATATCCCATGATGCATTGGCCAGTTTTGGGTAACAAATTAAACTGTTTATCTGCAAAATTTACTGTCCATGAACATCACACTCTCAAATGATTTAATTAACACATGACGGCAAGGAAACTTATTTTTTATTTTACGTAGATAACTTCATTCAGAGGACCAAGCAGCGATATAATAATCCCAGGTCTCTTTCAACAAAAATCAATCTGTCTGACATGCAGACGGAAATCAAGCTGAGGCCCCCTTATCAAATCCCCATGTGTGAACTGGGGTCAGCCAATGGAGTCACATCTGCATTTTCTGTTGACTGTAAAGGTGCTGCGAAGATTTCTTCTGGTGAGTTTTGGATCTCAACTATTTCATTTTTTAAACAAAAATCATACTTTCTTAAGAACTGAACAGCTCCCGGTCATGCATTATACTTTATCCTAATTTTTTTAATTGAGTACCGGAGAATGAAGAAATTTAAAGTAATCCCTTTTCCCTCTGGTATATAAAGTAAGCTACCAGATAGATGACTGACTGGTCAGGGAAATTCTTTCACACGGAGACATCAGAGGATCTCTGGCTAGGAGAACACTCACTTCTAGAAATGAATAATGTGTGTTTACAGATGTGTAAAGCGCATTTCCCGATGGCAGAATGACTATGTTCAAGGCCAGGGTTCTCGACCATCACATCAGTGAGCATCTACTCACCCTTCCCATCCCGAAGAAGGAAGGGACGCTAGCCTCAAAAGCTGTGATAGGGTAAAAATGGCTTAAAAACAACAATTTCATTATTTTATAAAGTACCATATATCACTATCTAAAAATGTCTTCCTTCTTCAATAAGTTAGCTTGCCTATATTGTCCCCCTATTTATCCAAGTTTTTAAACTTCTCCCTCCCTCCCTAATAACAAGCACTTCAGAACTGTGACGTCAGCAATACAGTGAAGTCGGTTCGTTTCATCAATTTTAGCCTGAGATTTACTTTATATAAACTCTTTACCTCCCTTAACCGTGTTTTCTGTGCATTTTGAATCCCTCGCCATCCTGGAAGCTTCCTCTGGCCATGCTTTAATTTGTTGAAGGCAGGCCTGGTTCTGACCCAGAGCGACCCTTTGGGCAGCAGAGTGGACCCTTTGGGCAGCAGAGTGGCAGTAGAGTGAAATTATTTTCAAAAATTTTTTACATGTATGTGATATTAATTGTATTGTTCAATAGTTTCCTCATTTGTTGGTTTAACTTTCTTTGGACTGCATCTCTTCCAGCCACTTGGCCATGTACCTGTCTGCCATATTTCTTCACATGAGAGCATCCTTCCAATGCTACCTCAGTTTGATGAGCTATTTCAGCTGGTATCTGTGCCTCCGTGGGGCCTCCTTTTTCACCAATGCCTTCAGTGCACCTTGGACTGCTTCCTTCAGTACCATTGGTTCTTGGTCGTGTTACTTCTAGAATTGGTTGAACACGCCAGTTCTTGGTACAGTCTTTCAGTGTACTCTTTCCATCTTCTTTTGATGCTTTCTGTATCATTCATACTTTTTAAAATGGAGGCTTGAATTATTTCTTGAAGTCTTTCCATTTGAGAAGTGCTTCTTTATGGTTTTCTAACTCTGACGGTCATCCAGTTGATGCTGACCCATAGCGACCCCAGAGGACAGCGTAGAACTGCCCTTGCGGGTTTCCAAGACTGTCACTGGGTAAGAGTGGAATGCCTTATGAAACGGCAATCTAAGAGCTAACCCTCTGTGCCACCCTATTTCAGTACAACACTTTGTCATCTTACACTGCCCTTTGAAATCTTCTGTTTAGTTTTTCTGTGTCATCCTTTCTTCCGTTTACTTTAGCAAAGTGTGGTACTCAGGACCAAATACAATCTTCCATACTTGCTTTGAGAATAATATCAAGCTAGGGCTTCCTAATTTTATTTTCAGTTTGTTTTTTGAAGACTAAGTGTGGAATTCAGTCTTTCTTTGTTGACATTCATTCTGTAATTTTCCCTTGTTCAGCATGAAGTACCATTGAATTTTTAGATGGTGCTAGTTTACATTAGGTCTTTTTACAAATTTGATAATGATTTTATTTTGCTTTTTTATTATTTCTGTCCTTTTACTTTTAAACATTAGCACTGATTAAAATATAAGGTACTCAACCAGGACTTCTTCCAATTTGGTATTTCCTTTCAACAAATCAATTTTCAAAGTATCTATCATCTGGCAAATATTATACTGAAACGAATCATTAGAGAAACAGGATTATATGAAGAAGAATTCGGCATCTGGATGGAGGGAAAGCTTACTAACAACCCACGACATGCAGATGACACAGCCTTCCTTGCTCAAAGTGAGGAGGCTGGAAGCACGTGCTGGTGAAGATAAGGATGGCAGTCTTCAGTGTGGGTTACCACTCAATGGAAAGGAGACCCAAGTCCTACAACTGGACCAATAGGTATCACCATAATAAACGGGGGAAAGCTTGAAGTCGACCAGGATTTTGTCTTTGGTTGGATCCATAATCAATGCTCATGGAAGCAGCAGTCAAGAGGTTAAAGAATGCATTGTATTGGATAAATCTACATAAGACCTCTCTAAGTGTTGAAAAGCAAGGAGATTAATTTGAGGACTAAGCCCTGGTTGTCTCACGTGAATGTGAAAGTTGGACATTGAATAAAGAAGACAGAGGAAGAATCTGTGCATTTGAAGTATGGTGTTGGCAAAGAATATTCAAAGTACCATGGACTGCCCAAAGAACAAACAAATCTTCCCTGGAATAAACACAGCCAGAACGCTCCGTAGAAAAGCGGTTCTCAACCTGTGCCTCGCAACCCCTTTGGGGGTTGAGCGACCCTTTCACAGGGTGCGCCCAATTCATCACAGTAGCAAAATGACAGTTATGAAGGAGCAATGAAAATAATGTTATGGTTGGGGGGTCACCACAACATGAGGAACTGTGTGAAAGGGTCGCGGCATGAGTAAGGCTGAGAACCACTGCTGTAGAGGCAAGAATGGTGAGGCTTCATCTCATATACTTAGGACATGTCAGGAGAGACCAGTCCCTGGATCGGGACATCATGCTTGGTAAAGTAAAGGGGCACCAAAAAAGAGGAAGATGGAGTCTCAACACGATGGATTGACACAGTGGCTGCAACAGTGGGTTCAAACGTAAGAACAAATGTGAGGCTGGCACAGGACTGGGTGGTATTCCAGTCTGCATGCTGCATAGGGTTGCTGAGAGTATGAACTAACTCGAGGGCACCTAACAGTAACACCTGGCAAGTTCAACTTACTAAATTAGGAATATAAAAGAACAAAATGTATGTAGCTTGTTTGAGTATACTTAGTCTGTCAGCTATGAACCTTCTACGTGTACTATTCTACCTACATTTTTTAATCATCAGATTATTTCCAAGGATACCATCTTGGACATATGCAAAACTTAAAGCATTACCAAACAACATCAGCCTTTTCAAGGATAACTGCAACCAGAGTGGTCTGAAGGGAAAGATGGAAGTAAGAGACTAAGGCTAGTTCATCATGACTTAGCCATTGTAAATTGCAGTGAACGCCTGAATGACTCTTTTCTAGGTACTCACAAGATAAACTATAGGTGACATAGTTCTCATCTAGCCTATTAGGGGTGTCACATTTTTTTTTCTTTTTTCTTTTTTCTTTTTTAACATTTTATTAGGGGCTCACACAACTGTTATCCCAATCCATACACACATCAATTGTGTAAAGCGCATTTGTACATCATTTCTCAAAACATTTTCTCTCCATTTAAACCCCCGACATTAGG